TACATATACATTTAACGTCATAGAGAACTCTCCTAACAGATACATACACATTTAACGTCATAGAGAATACATATACATTTAACGTCATAGAGAATACATATATATTTAACGTCATAGAGAACTCTCCTAACAGATACATATACATTTAATGTCATAGAGAACTCTCCTAATTGGTGTGTACAGATACATATACATGCAAGGGCCTGCACGCGCATGCCCTAGACGACGATCGGCCGGACTCTGCCCGCCAGCAATCATCCTCCTCCCCTCTTCCCCGAAGCACAAGTCATGCACTTTGTGTACATACACATATACATTTATGGTCATGGAGAACTCTCCGGTGAACCGTAGGCACGGAAGGAGAAGAGGACAACAACAAAGGGCCTGTGACAGACTGGTTGGTGGGAGTTTCACCGACTTGTCAGGAGGCTGAACCCTCTACACTCTGCAGAGTCCCCTTACCCATGATACTAAAAGTGATAACCCACGTTAACCCCAGTTGTGATTGAGCATCAAATACTGCGCCAACAACTGATACTCTCGCTGCAAGGATTCAATTCTAAATCTGCTTAGGGAGCCAACAACAGAGGGCCTCTGACGGACTGGTTGGTGGGAGTTTCACCGACTTGTCAGGAGGCTGAACCCTCTACACTCTGCAGAGTCCCCTTACCCATGATACTAAGTGATAACCCACCTTGACCCCAGTTGTGATTGAGCATCAAAGACTGCCCCAACAACTGACTCTCGCTGCAAGGATTCAATTCTAAATCTGCTTAGGGAGCGCTAAACGCTATGCCAAAAGATATCTAGATCCAGCAGCCAGGCCCGCTTCTCTCTCTCTCTCTCTCTCTCTCTCTCTCTCTCTCTCTCTCTCTCTCTCTGTATAGACAAATATATGCAAGTTATGCTTGCCCTGGTTTCGTTCTCTTATGCTCTTCTCTTCAGATCGTGAGAGAAATGTCCGGCTCTCTCTACTTAGCTGACCGCATCAGATGATCAAATATATGCACGAGGCTGCAGGTGCATGTGCCCTAGACCACGATCAGCCGAACTCTTTCCGCCAGCCAGCAATCATACCCCTCCCATCTCTCATCAAGCTCTCTTCCACCCCCAACCCCGAGGTCCGCCGCTCCCGCTGCCGATCCATAGCGCACTTTCACACGTCCTGCTCCTCATTTCCGCCTCGGTTTCGGCTCTCCGCCGACCACTTGACAATGGCTTGCCTCGATCTTCCTTGCTTCTTTTCTTGTCAGCACGCCAAGTGAATGAAATACGGATTGAAATTTCCTCCTAATCAGTCCACTGGCTGCTATTATTGCCCCGTTAGGCGCAGCTTAAAAAGCGTCTACTAAGCAGGCGGAGACGGCGGAGAGAGAGAGAGAGAGAGAGAGAGAGAGAGAGAGAGAGAGAGAGAGAGAGAGAGAGAGAATTCACGCTAATTTCTTCCCTTTGCAGGTTCCAGAATGAGTCAAGCGGAGCAACGACATGCGTTTTCCTGTCCTCTATGTGGTGCTCGCTAAAGAGGTACGAGTACCAGAGGAGAGGAGGATGGGGGGGGAGAAGGAGGAGGAGGAGGAGGAGGAGGAGGAGAAGGCGGAGGAGGAAGAAGAGGAGAAAGAATGAGACTGCATGAAGAGTGCGGTGAACGAGCCTCGTTGTAGATTCACCGTGACCGAGGAAGAGGGTTGTACGGAAGGGCAGAGTAGCAATGGCAAACAAGTCTCAAGGAAGATCGACAAACGATCAGGAAGAAGCATCACGTATCACCGGTGATACAACATATAGTGCATTGTGGAGGGAGGACGATCGTTTAATCAAAAAAAGAGCGAAGAAGATTCAATTGCGTACTCTCAATTGCCTACTCCACGAAGAGCGGGTTCTCAGCAGGAAGCACGCATCAATCCGTCTCGGTGTAAGATCACTTCCATCTTCACCGGAATAGAACGCCCGGTCATTGTAGCCTTGGCGCAACTTTCAGTCTATATGCAGAGCGCATTGTAGCCCTATTTGGCGCAACTTTCAGTCTATATGCAGAGCGCATTGTAGCCCTATTTGGCGCAACTTTCAGTCTATATGCAGAGCGACAAATGAGAAAAAGTACTGAATTATAATGAAGAAGATGACATCGAGTTCTAATAGCATGGCGCTATCGACTTCTCCACTACTTTTCCTCCTCGGCGAACACTGTCAAGGATCTCAGTCCTTCTACTCATACGCCACTTCAGGGCTTACTCACACGCGCACTATCTTAATGAATCTGACCACATTTACGACCGGACCGGTGTGCATCTGGCCCCAATTCCGTCCAGGAGTGGGTAAAACGGTGCTAATGTCAGTATGCTCTCAGGTTGACGTGATGCCGGTAGCCGAAGACCACATAATCACAGCGAGAGACTGACATGCAGATCGATCACCGTCACACAGAGAGAGAGAGAGAGAGAGAGAGAGAGAGAGAGAGAGAGACATGCAGATCGATCACAGAGAGAGAGAGAGAGAGAGAGAGAGCGGAGGGGGAGGGGGAAGAGGAAAGGAGGAAACAACCCACGTGCCACATCTTTCTTCAGAAAGTTCAAAACAAAGAAAAGCGGGAAAAGAAAAACAAAGGACAAAAAGACAGGGGGAGAGAGACAGAGAGAGCGACGCTTGCCCCCCGTACAGACGCACGTTCATCAACACAATCTATGGAGCACTTGACTCGTTCATCAAACTTGAAACAAGACTCGTCCTTCTGACGAAAAAATCTTAGCAATGTGTGCACCACAGACTCACCTTTCAGCCAGCATCGCCGAAGTTCACCGGGCACCAGCCAACCAGCCAAGAATGCACTCCCGCTTTTCCTTGTCAGGTTACTTCTCCGAAATAGCCCCTGCCTAGATCACAGATCGTAGATCGGGAGTTGTACACATAGACGCCTCCTCGTTAATTGCTTCCGCCGTCGCCGGTATCCCTTTTCTAATCCGCCTGCCACCGGGCCGTGCATCCGCCGTCGTTGCGGAAGAGCGATGGAGAATGAAAGAAAGAGTGAGGCGGGAGGGGGGAGGGCGGAAGGCGGAAGGGGGAAGGCGGAAGGCGGATGCGGGCGGTAAGGGCGTAGGGACAGGTTGACTCTATTGCTGCGCAATACGAGTCGTCGAACTCCACGCAGCTGCCCTACCCGCACCCACCACCCACAAAGATCCTACCTTCCTAAGCAAGCAATCCCGAGACCGTCGTTCCCTCTTCCCTCTCTCTAGCATCCCGAGGCAAGCAATCTGGTGACCGTCATGCCAGCTTCCCTCTCTTGCATCCTGGCGGGCGCCATGTCCATGAGGTTGCCCGGCCCGTGTAACCTATTATGCCGGCATTACTCTACCAGCTCACAGAGCTCATCAATCCCCCCCACCCGCCCCCTTGCTGCGCTCCTCATT